ATTTTGGGTTAAAAAAATAAACGCAGAGGGAAGAAAAGCCGGCAGGTGAACACACACAAACAAAAACGCCCCTCCCCCATAGCTCTAGGTGTGGATCCGCAACTGGTAATATACAGAAAATATTTATAATAAACTCATTTTCAAATCGCGGTTTAAGCGTAAGAACACAGGGGAGGGGGGAAGGGGATTGTGGTAAATTCCCTTGAGGCAGTGAGAGAGGAGGGCAGGAATCTCCTCAGTCGCAAGGTCACCATGGCAACCAGCCACAGCCCACCTTTCAGGCTCATTTAAACTGCACTTCCTTACGTTATGCGTTAAATCATCAGGAAGCGACAAGGACGCAATTGTGGCCATTCTTGGAGCCCGGTCAAATAAACAGAGACAAGAAATAGCGGCCAAGTACCAGCAGAAGTACAACAGGGTAAAGTTTAATAGCATTAATAGCTTAGAGGTCGATAAAACAGCTGAATTCTTTAAAAAAATATTTGTCAAGTGTTGTCATTGGCGATAGAATGATACCAAAGCAAAATTTCAAGGCTGTGGATGTGTCATGAATGTGCGAGATATTTCAGTTTATATCGCAGAATAAAGCAAGAGATTGTTATTCCCAAGCATGTTCCCGTAGTAGGTTGGTTTTCCACTGTAAGTGACTTTCATTATCACCCTTTGGCGGGCTTTCAACATTTTTTGATCTTCACCCTTTCACCCCGAAGAGTGACTAGCATCTAATTTCTCCTTACTATATAACCCCTGAATCAAAACATTTAGATCATGAGAGTAAACATAAGTTATCAGCAACTGATGAAGCTCTTGATTGTTTAACAAATTCTCCCTTCGAGTATCATGGGAAATGCGTAGAACACACTTTGGAGAATATACAGTCTTTGTTTGGGTTTAAAGGGTGAAACCATCCTGAGACCAGAACAGCAACAATTAGAGTTATCTTAGGATGTTTTGTTGAACCTTTGCTTACGCTCTGAGTATTCTTTTTCCTCTCAATGTTTTGCATAGAACCTCACGGAGGAATTGAAATCAGAACTGAGTGGAAAGTTCCAGGATGCAGCAGTCGCCTTAATGGCCGTTCCAGAAAATTACGATGCAGTTTCTCTTCATGACGCCATGTCGGTAAGTCTTTGACATTTTCAGCTGTTTCCTGCTTTATTTGCTTATTGGCCCCTTCTTTCTCAGGGACTTGGAACTGATGAACAGGTCCTTATAGAAATTTTAAGTTCACGGAGTTACGAGGTGAGTTTTGCGTTGTTGTTGTCGTCGTCCTCGTAGTTGTGGTTGTTCTTTTTTAATTTAAAATACTCAGCACCTCTTTTAGCATCACATTTTTATTCATATTGGAACTTAGCTTTATTACAAGCCGGTTTGTTGAAAAATGAATGTCAAAAAAATGTCAGAAATCATCATGGATTTGCCTCATTAGACTACCACTTGTGTACTACGAACCCCAACAAGAGAAAAGTTTTCAATCGATAACGTTGGACTTATGGAATTCCTGAGTTAAAGTGTAGTAGTCTAGCTTTATTGCCATTCACAGGATTGAGTTCCCCATAACAGTTTTAATTGTATACGAATCCTTTAACTGACATAAGATTATTTCTGAACGTTATCTTGAATTACAGGAACTTCAAGTCATAAAATCAGCCTATACGAAAAGTAAGTGGTAACATGTCTTGAAAACCGATAAAATATTTGTGGCATATTTTGTTAAGATTTATTTAAGTGGTATTTTTCTCCTTTGTAGTTTATACTGGCAAAGATGTGCTTAAAAAGATCAAAGAAGATACTAATGGAGAGTTCAGGACAACTCTTATGAACTTGATCGAGGTAAGTGCTGGAATGGCATGGTAATTGGACCGAAGTGTATATTAAATAATTTGAATATATCAACAAAGTTGAAATGGTAAATTGGCCACCGTTACGATTATAAAAGCTGACGTTTCGAGCGTTAGCCCTTCGTCGGAGCGAATAGAGGAATTGTGGGTTGTGTGTGCTTTTAAAGGCAGAAAATGGAGCTACGTTATTGGTGGGAACATGGCAACGAGAAATTATTTCGTTACCCCCACCGACGCAGCCCCAAACAGTTTCTTTAGAAACTATCAGCCTTTATTCAAAGTGTATATTATATGTCAAATTGTAATCAGTTCGTAGGCCTACAGACTTCACAATATTGAAGTAAAAAATTTTTTTTGTGGAATTTGGAAGACCTTCGTTGTAAATTAATAAGGTTACTTCGTCCTGTGTCCTTGTAGAATAGCTTTTGTGGTTTGCTCAACAATTTTTGCTTTTCTTTTTTTGTTCGACAGAAAAACCGAGACAGCAACGAAAAAGTTAATGAGGACCTTGCAAAAGCGGATGCCAGGAAACTTTTGGAGGTTTGTACTTTGTTTTGAATTCGTTATGTTTTATCTCATTTTATTTATTTGTGTATATATTTTTTTTATTGATTTTTTTGTTATTTTTCAAGTGTTAAAAGAAAATCTCTTAGTTGGGGTTTTGCTGACCTTGTTTTGCGGTTGACCATGATGTTTTCCAGGGAAAACATTCAATGCAACACGTTCTGTGATCATCGATAATCTGAAAGAGTTAAATAGAGGAAATCAATGGCGACTAAATGCTAAAATCTTCTGATCCTTTTTCTTTTCAGGCTGGGCAAGGAAAAAAGGGAGCAGACAAAGCCGTATTTGTCGAAATCCTTACAAGCAGAAATTATGCGCAACTGCGAGCCACCTTTGACGCTTACAAAACTGTAAGTTTCTACCAGTGAATCAATTATCATTGCCTTTTGATCTTATGATCAGAAAGTTACCTCTCCTACCTGAATACTGTAGTCTTCGTCGGCTGATTTTTTGGTCTGGTCATCGGCGTCACCTTCAAAGTAATTTTGCTTCGTTGAGAATCATTTTAATTCTACCTTTCTGATTGACATTGTATGAAAATGGTGTAGACAACGTTGATACTGGTCACCTCTGGTAGTTAAAAGAATTAGTTAAGGGAACGGCAAAGAAATCCGAGTTTGGAAATCATGATATGAAGCATTTGTCAATGTTTGTTTGTTTTTTCTTATTGTAACTGAAAGTTTTACCTATCCTTGCAGTTGGCCAAAAGTGATTTCATGGATTCCATCAACGAGTACTTAAAAGGAGATTTGCAGAATGCTCTCAGGGCGATAGGTAAGTAATAAAAAAAACTCGCACTGTGTATCACGGAATAATTAGCGCCGGAGTAGCGTAGCCAATCAGATTGCAGAATTTGAGACAGAACGCTGGTAGATATGCACCAATGATAAGTATACCGCATTTCCTTACAGAGTTGTGCGTCTAGATAACCACTTTTGTAAATATTCCCTGATGTTTCGAGCAAGTTGCAAAAGAAATTTTGTTTTACCACCTTTCCAATTTTGCAAGATTGCTTCCTTTGGCTTGATAACGAAGTGAAAACGCTCATGAAAGAACCACTAGTTTGTGGTATTTCTTTCAAACTGGAACCTTGTCTGAAACCAGATTTCTCCCAGGAACAAGTGTAGGTTACACAAAAAAATCGCCAATTTTTTTAGCATGGCTCTTACACTGTTTACACTTTATAACACACTTTATACGCAAATATTGACCGATTTGATGAACTTCCCAGTTCGATGCGCTCAGGATCCAGCGCTGTTCTTCGCGGAGGTGTTGGAAAAGGCGCTGGACAGAGGAAACAGTAAAATTGTTACACGTGTGTTAGTAACAAGATCAGAGGTAAGTTCAGGTGTCTTTTTACGAGTTTTCATCAGGTCATTGAGGCATTTTCCCTAGTTTTGGTTGACCGTGGCGACTACTATGTAATGCGTCGTGTTTAACTACCATCAATCGAAATACGCTCAACTGCACTTGGATACCTAAGTGGTAAGTAGTTTAAGACAGATGTTAAATCTGTAGCTTGAACGTCGAGAAGAAAAATTCGAGCTCCCCACGAAGATTCGAACCACAGATGTGACGAGTGTTTCACGATTTTCTTCGTTCAACGATCGAGCTCGAAGGCCAAACGTTCGAATCCTCATGAGTAACTGAGTTTTTTTTCTTCTTCTTCTTCGTGCCTCCCGCGGAAAACGTGCGAGATCTTTTTCCCCCCTCTCCGATGGAAACAGAAAGAGAGAAACTAGAGTTTTCTCGTTTGTCCTTCCAGGTTGATCTGGCTGATATCAAGACTCAGTACCAAAAGAAGACTGGACAACCTCTGAAAGATGTTGTCGCGAAAAAAATGAAAGGAGACCTCGAGAAAATTCTTCTACAACTTCTGGGCAATTGACGATAGAACGATTAGAATTATAGTGAAAAAATTCAATTGAGAAACTTTGAAGCTCAACATCACTTAATTGAGGTGTTGAGTTTTCTCCCTAAGTAAAGCTTCAACTTGTGGCTTTAATACGAACCTCTTTGAAGGCGGGTTACGACCGTTGCTCATCTAGCCTTAAAATTAAAATTGTCAAGAATTTAAATCTAAAAATGGAATTTTGTTGTTCGATTGGGTTCCCTGTGATGCTGTTTTGTCACGCACTGCGTTTGAAAGTTTTTCTGTTTCGTCCAAACCTAACTCGCGCTCGGTCATGTCGAATCGTGAATATGTCAGGAGGATGGAGACAAGTTTTATGACGTATTTCAGTGCGAGTAGAATGCAGTACAAGGAACCCAATGAAATTGAACCTACAAAACACGTCGTATCGTACAAAATAACAATATTACATTTTGCTCCGGACGAATCTTCGGTGCTCAAAATATTTTTTGAATTTCGCCTCTTACATAAGTTAGGCTTTGTACTAAATTATATATAAAGCAAATTGTCGCTTGGGGCATCACCCCCCCCAGGGAAAGCTCAGTCGTTAATTGTAATGAATTTACCCCTTAATTAATTCCTTAATTAATTAATTAATTAATTACAAAAAGGGTTGGAATATTGGAGAATTAATATAAAATACTCAAATCAGACTTAATTTGCGTCATATTAAGGGCGTATCCCGTACTGTTTGAAATTCAAAAGAAATTTAGACGCTTTATTTTGAGTTATTGTTAGTGTCGAGGTAGCTTTAGAAAAGTGGTGTGATTGTATTGAATATTGTTGGTGGCTGCAAAGGTTGGGGTGATATTTATTTTTCTTTTTTTTTGTTTTAACAATCAGTTTTATCGGAAAGTAACGGTATACACTGCTTAAGTAGTGTGTTAAGCGCAATTGAAAAACACGAGAGCCAATTCTGAAGGGAGTTCCTCTGAGCTGCTGTCGGTTCGGTTGAAACTTAAGGTAGAGTAAATAAAGCTTTCGTTTCGCTGCTCTACTTCGAAAACAGTTCACCGAACTGGTAGTTGAACCACTCTCAGGAATGATCACTGTCTTAAATCTCCTTACAATTTTGACTGTTAAGCAAATAGGTAGTGAAAGGCAAGACAATCTTCCACTGAGAGAGGGGTATTGCCTGAATATAACATCAACCGAGGATAAAGACAAGAGACAATTAAGAAAATCTTCCTTAATTGAGGAATCGAGGTTCTGAGGAGTGACGGACGACGCTACCTGGTTATATACCATCGCAACACGTCTTAGCGTTTTCGGAGATAGACATGAAAGATTCAAGACTAAACAGAATTAAATCGGTGTATTTGTAGTGTTTATTACGGGTTTTGTCAAAAGTGCTTCACGTCTTCCTTTGCTCGATTTGATTCAGACATCCTACGCGACGTGGATGAGTTATAGCTGTCAAGAAATGAAGCACGAATAGTGAGATTGTGTAGTTACCCCTAAAATCACTGTATGTACTATCGACAGAACAATTAAACCGTTCTTTCCCAACGGGGCTGTAGTGTGGTAATGGTAAAAATAGTAAAACCACACCCAAATGAGTTTCTTCGAACCTTCGGGGAGTCCACACCCATAACGAATATGCCTCGTGTGGGAAGATCCGTATGAGTTGTCACGTGAACCGCAGTGTGACTCTTAAGAAGTATTCGGTAAACAAAGTACAAAGGGAGGGGTGACAGGCTGAGACTGAACTGTAATAGTAATAGTAATCAAAGTTTAATGTCGTGGGGCATGGTTACCCATATTGCCCGAGCCAGAGGCTCGCGTATGAAACGCAAGACAACAACCCACCCATCCCACCCCCGGGGAGGACATCCATCACAGAGTAATCTCGTGCGTGGTACATTAACGTCTCCTACCCCTAACCCTTCAGGAGACGGGACCTCCATTTATCCGTTCCTATCCGAGAAGATTAGAATATCTAACTATTTCTTGATGTGAGAAAGGCAGCATATTCTCCTCAATTATTTTAAGACCTTGAGTGTTGGTCCGGTCGGGGCTCGAACCCTCGACCTCCCGCACATCAGTCCAGCGCTCTGTCCATCGAGCTAACCGGGAGGCGGTTATAAAATCGCAATTCCATCTTTAATAAGAAAAAGTTGTTTTGAGTATCGTGTAATACAAAACTATCAGACGGGTTCGAGCAGACCCTTTTACAAAACTACTTTGCTTTGTCTACATTGTGACCAATTTCATAAAATTATTTTCTAACCCAGTTATGGTCACAGAATGGTTATGTCAGTGCTGTTAGTTCTGCGGCTATCAGAACTCTTGAGACTATTTCCTACAGAAATTACAAGCGATGCTTTACTCCATAAGCCTTAAGCTTTCGTAGGACTCTATTTCACGCACTCTGGGGATCTGAGGCGACTTGCGTTCTTGTTCCTTCTCCAGATGCTTAACAAGGCGTAAATACCTTTGGAGAAAATCCTTTCCGATCATAGAAATCCAAGGGTCTGTACACTAGAGCATGTCTTAACCCCAGTCCTTGACCCACAGTTATATATTTTTTGAAGCACGGCTAAACGATCTTGTTAATTCTCCATTCTTAGGCAAAACCAAATCCTTCGCTCCCCTCGTTTATTGCAAGTAAAAGTTTTTCTTGCATCTCTTTGAACGACGAGTAGGATGGTAAACAGAGCTGGTTAAAACTGCAATCAAGGAAAGGTTTTTTTTTTTAATCGTTTTGGAGTCAAAACCGTTCATTCTTAAGTAACCTGTAAAAACTCGAGCTACGCCTGGGCCGAGACACACACAACGGCAAGTTCGTTCCCAGGATCCTCACCTTCAAGCTACGTAGCGGTTTGTAGACTGTACTTACCAGGTATGTGCTGTAGGTAGTGCGTTTGTAAGAGGTGCATACGAGATCTGTATTTGTGGTGAAAGCTCGGCAAATCCCCCAGGGGGAAGCTGAGAGGAACCTGTGATAAACTGAACCAGTCGCGCTAGCTCTTCTTGAGTAAAACTTGTCACAATCGTCCAAAACCATTCCAAAGTCTGAAAAAGGTAGAAAAACTCTCTAAATTATACTTTGTAGCTAATGAGCACTTGAAAATACCCTCGCCACTACGTCCGTCCCGTTTGGGCCGCTAAACTTTCAGTTGTCGCTTTATTCATCGGACCCCCTCATTTCATCCCGGAAAATGCAGGCTATTACGCAGACGAATTTTTACAAAGGGAAGATTGGTGAGGCTAAAAGGAGGCAAAGAGTTTTGGAAATATGGTAACGCTTTTGTGAACGCATCACAGAGTTAAGTTTCGAAGCAAGCGCTACGTTGCAACAGAATTACGAGACAAAACGGCTCTGACCTGTTGCGGAAACTATCAACGTATTGAAAATTTTAGATCAAGCAAGTCACCCTGGTGTTTTATACTCATCGCTCCTGATTGGTCTGGGGAACTCACGCCATGCACCCTTTCAACCAATAAGATGCAAGAACAAAACCGACTGCCACTACATCACTTGCGTTTTCTCGCGCCTTCGACAGTTTGTTCGTTCGACTGACCATTATAACAGCGCTCCAAACAAGACACTGACTTTCATGGAACATTGCCTATAACAGCGCTCTAACTACCCAACTAAATACTAATTTTACCTTTACCTTTCTAAATGGTCCCAAACAATGTAGAACAGTGTGATTATTTTGGAAATCTGTAACACTGATGTTTCCAGTCCCACACATCAAAAGCTGCAGAATATAGAAAAAATTAAAACTGAGACTTGCAACTAAAAAATTAACCCAAAATATAACCAAATTGAAAATGATGTACGGTTGAAGAGTATTGGTCACAAAGCACGTTACCTCAAGCTCGTATTCATCGAAGGCACTCAGTAAACTGTCTGGAACCATTTCATTCAAACCTACACGGAGACAAAAAAAATATTGATTACCCTATTTGTCGCGCTCCATTGACATTGACCAATGTTCCTCCGTCTTGCGTACTGTGACCTATTTTTGCCTTGAGTTTGTACGAACTGCAGGACCTCGTAGTTTTTTCGGTTTTCGGTTTTTGGTTTTTGGGTCGCCACGTTGAGATAAATGTTTGAACTCAGCAGTCTTTATTTTGTGTTACCCTTGTTTGTGACTTACCCTTGTTTTGTGACTTACTTGTTTGTCACTTACAGTTACGGTCAGTGTTCTAAAACCTTTTTCACAATCAAGATCTCAATGTCGGTTCTCCTTACCATTCGCCGTATATTATAGACATTGGTGTAAAATCACCAAAAGACGTCTTCTGATTAATTTTTTCTCTCTTCTTTTTGCCTCGGGAACTTGAATAGTCAATCTCTTTACCAGGTTCTCTCCTCCTTGCCGCCCAAGGAAGAGGAGAGATCTTGGGACAAAGTGGGTGCATAAACAACTATTGAAAAACGCTACGCAAAAAATGGAGTGGACCAATGGACCATGAGCAAAGTGAAAAAAAAAAAACAACAACAACAACAACAACAACTTAATGACGAAGTGCATAGTCTTTTTTTAATCGTACCTTTCACAAAAGCCTCAATCTCCTGTTTGACCGAGGATGCCAGACGATGCTGAGCTAATAAGTCTAAATATTCTCTTTTGTTTGATTCTGTTACTGGTATCTGAGCTCCACCTGGTTTCAAATCCTCCAACTAGGGACAAAAAAAAAAAGAAAAAAAAACCATAGTAACTGTTTAAAAACCACTCTATGGGTATATTACCGCTTCTCTTGACCTATCTCCAAAAAGGAAGGTTTTGACGACTCTGGTGCAAAACAGGACGCAGGAATCATTCCCCAGTTAGTAGAGCATGTGGACTCCGAAAATCGGGATATCTGATCCTCGGATTCTCGAAGAAAACTCAGACTTTTTTAATATGCTTCACGCTTGTTACAACTGTTTCACATTTTCTTTCATATCAGACAAGAATTAATGAAGACATGTTCTCGTTTTAAACACTGACAATTCAAGATGCAAGTATAATAAAAAATGGTTACAAAAAATATACCAAAGAAAGAGAAAACAGAGATGCGTAAAAACAAATGTTTAAGAATTCGAAGGATCTTCATCCCACCTTCTCTACGCGCCCCTGCTGATCGTACACCTCCTCTGCAAATACTAGTGCCAAGTCCTCCGGGTCATTCTCTTCGATGAATTTGATTTTGCTCCGATAGTAGTCCTTGTCGTCAATCTCGAAGTACTTTTTTCGGGGATTGAAAACTATGTATTAGTTGAAAAATGTTCACACAAAACATTAAACATGGATCAGACAAATGTAACAACTTTGTAATCAAACGAAACTCCGCCACAGCTTATGCAGTCTCCTTGCAAGTGTTCTTTTATATGCCACGCAACGCTCGAGCGTTGCGTGTCATCTTAAGACTGGCTGGTAAAGAAGATAACCGGAAAAAGTGGAAGCACATCTCGCCAACACATCTTGAAAAATGGTACGTACATTTCCCAAAATAGTCATATGCAGTAACGACCTCGGCCAAGAATCGCACTTTGCACAAAAATGTTTGTATTTTCCAAAGCCACTGAGGAAAAAAGTCCTACATGAGCGCAAAATGGAATACACTTGTTTAAAAAGGAGAGGCATAAAACCAGATTCTTGCCTCAGCTTGCTCGACTGTTTGATTTGTCTTTTCGCCTCTTCCCGACGCCTCCCCCCTACCGTCCGGAGTATAACTAGACTAAATGACTATACTTCTATCACATTTTTTGAAACAGATTGTTGTCTTACCCTATAGCTCACACGAAGACCAAGCAGTTGGGCCAGGAATGATCTGCTAAATCGTGCTTTCACATTTATTCTCCGAGTTGATCCCATGGCGGACTCGTACAAGCATTTTCCAACGATGCGTCCGGCGAACTCGTAAAACTTCAGTTTCAAATGAGCGGGTCTCCGCGGATTCGGGTGAACCTCGAACACCGAAAAAAGGAACAATGAAATTCATAACTATTCCTACCGGCGCCGAAGAATAACTCTAAAACCAGTTGGGTGAGAGTAAATTTGCATAAAATTGCTCTACTAAAAACCCCTCAGAAAGGCTGTGACGTAGTGGCTAGCGAGTTGGACCGATGATCCTGAGCTAAAGATACTGCTCCCCTGACACGGTCATTGTGTCGTGGTATTTGGAGAGTCACTTAATCTTTACAGTGCCTTTCACCATTGAGGAGTATAAAATGAGAAATAGAAAATCGTTTAAGAAACCTGACATGAGAATCTGGTGCGGAGAGAGAGCAAGCAAAATATGGGCAGCACTCGAAATTGCTCCACGCAGTTCAAGCCAAAAAGCAACGGTAGTTGTGAACTACAAGGCTACACCTTCTCAATAAGGCAAGAAATAAACGCTCTTTTACTCACCAGGGCTTGAGGATCATCAGCGTTAAAGCGACTGAAGAATCCAGCTTCGTGAGAAAATAGCGCCTTGCACAACAACTCAAACCACTCGCGCCGCAAACCGCCCCAGTCAACACCTTGAAAAATATCAGAGACAAAGATGGTTTTAAATATGATTACCTATCCTTTGCTGACCTGAGGTTCAATTTATCTTGTATTTCACAACTAGTAGCTTAAATCTACTCCGTGAAAAAATCTCCATAACCTACCTGGTTCGTCTTTAAATGTGATTTTAAAATATCGTAACCAGTCGCTGGAATATAATGTCTTCATTGTGGCTTGATAGGACTAAGGGAAAATAAAAACATTTTGTAGTTGTCAATTTTAGTCCACTTAAAATGGGTTGGGCTAGTTGGCCAAACTTGGCATGGGGGGGTTACCAATTAGACACTATTTACATCATGGCAAACACGAGCTATTCAGTACTAAAAAAATAATATAAGCAACCATACGTTAGTTTATTGGGTCGAATCTCACGTAGTCACAGAAATGTGCTGGTTTTAGGCCGTCTGCCATTGACTCGCATCACGAACAGAGGAACACGCGGTGCAGTGAGGATCTCTAAATACTTTCGACGGCATCCATATTTGGACAAACTCATTAAAAAAAATGTCAAGGGACGAGTTTTTCTCAAAATATTTCGGTCCCGGTGCATATTAAACAACGTAGCTCGTTATGCTCAACTTACACTCTCCAAGAGTTTACGTCGGACTATCTTCAAGTTCACTTCACCCGTTTTGCGTCCGTGGTAATTAATTAATTCACGATAAAAGAATTCCTGCTTGTCTTTAAAGCTTTCTGACCCTCCTGTGAAAGAAAGTTAAAATGCAAGTTATGGTAAAGTATGGAAAAAGTTGAAAAAACTGAAAATGCAAAAGATCTGTAATTCATTTGTCACATGCTATGTCATCAAAAAGTCACGAAACTACACCTTTTAGTAACTAAGTGTACAATATTTAACGGCTGAGCAGTGCTTAAAGTAAAAAGTGCGGTCAAGATTAGACAACGGCTTCAAAGGACTCAAAGGGTACTGAGTTGGTTTTACTTTACTTTCTTCTACGATTGGTCCAGAAAAATTGCGTCACTTTCTCAACCAATCAAATTAAAAACTGACACCTGTCGCGATTTGGTCGCCCGCGTTTTCCCGCGTTTTCCCGCGTTTTCCCGCGTTTTCCCGCGTTTTCCCGCGCCTCAGCCATTTCCTTGTTTCACTTGATTTCTCATTGGCTCATTGTGATGCTGACCGTTCTTCTAATTGGAGGCTGTGATTACTTTGAATTTGGTTCAACGCAAGTGTTCTACTTTGAGGTTCGAGTTAAAAGCGTCTCGGTTACCGGTTGGTATATCCTCAAAACTTTGACGCGACGGGTCAACTTCTCCATCTTCGAAGGTCCCTGCTACTGTTCTGCTTTTTCTTATCTTAACAAACTAGTATTTTGTTGCTTTCTTGGGGTGAAAAGGCATTTCGTGCATTGCGACGACAAAAACATCATTAAAAACAACTTAACATAGCTCTTTTGAATCATTTGCTTAACTGACCTATTTTGGTGAGCAAAAGCCTTGAGAAGGTCGCCACCAACACATTTCTTTCCTTACACATAACAGTGATGGGAGGCTGGGAACCATCGTCTACAGTAAACGCTGGGTGATCTACACTGCGGTCAGGGGGGTGCAGAATAATCTGAGGGAGGTGTGGGTACATAAAAATTTAGTGTCCAGTATTTTTCATAACCAGTTATAAACACGAGAAGTTCCTCTCATTATAATGATTTGACTGAACAAATAGATTGAAGTAATTTAGTTTTGCATGCGTAAAGAAAAATGGTATTTGGAAACATCAGATGAAGGATCTTGATTCAGGTCAAAAGACGATTTACCCTCTTATAGGGATTTTTACTTTAAAACAAAAAATTTGTAAAAAAATATAGCTTGTAACTCTCAGAAGATAAAAAAAAGCACAAAACAAAACAACATACCTTTGTTGCGGGCCGAACTCGAAATCCATACAATCTATGTGGAATAATCTTCATGTAAAATTCTTTGATTTGTAATTGCTGCAAATTAAAGAAAAACACTTGAAAAAAATCCTTTATGATATTGTTGCTTGAACTTTGTAAAAAGTAAGCAAGGAAACTTAAAAACACACCTTTTTGGAGATGTAACAGTAGACTTTGCGAGCCTTTTTCAGGCCAACGGTATTCAATCCTGTTATAGCAAATGAAGCATGTTCAAAATTGCTAGATGGCCTTCTTGCCCCAGAAGGCATTTTGGGTGTGGCAGGGGCGCTTGAGCCAGAGGGTGCGGCTGGAGATGTATCATCGCTTGTCAATTGATATGCTTCATACCAAACATTCCAACACTTATTCTTTATATTCTTGTTGACATGTTCAGCATCTTTGGCTAAATATGTGTATAAAGAAAAGTAAAAAAACAAAACCTTTATTGACATTTCTTCTAAAATACTATAGGGAAGGGAAACTGAATCAGGTTATGCAACTTGTCTAAGAGGGAGAGATGCAAATGAAAAAAAAATTGATCCTTCTTTAACTTTGATACAGCACTCATTCTCAATCACAAATGCAGCAGATCAGACAAACTCTTCAAACAGTTATCAAATAAGTTTTTTAAGGTACAATCTAGTCATGGCTGGCCACACAACCCAGCCATGATTAAACAAATCAAATCAGTTGAATGCAATACCATGGGAGATGATCCTTCATTTTACTTAGTAAGTAAGTAAATAAGTAAACTTTATTTGATAAGTAGGTTGAGATTGTTTGGCAGCCAAAGGGCTGATGTGGACCTACTATACACAATCAAAATTTGACAAACACAAAAAGATATTAACAAAAGAATAAAAGCTATGTACAGGGAGAAATCAATACATGTACATGCAAAAAAACTGAGATTTACAAGAGCCTAATTGAAATAATAATATAATACCAGAAATTAAAATGCTTAACAGTATATAAAATCATCTTTTTTTGAGGTGATCAAATTACTTCTTGGGTAATTACCAATTATTCTACAAGTGCGCGTTGGATATGAGGTTGGATATGAGGTGATAGATAGCATAGTGCATAGCGCCAAGTTGGCAGTAATCATCTCATATCCAACAAGTGCGAGTGGAATAATTGTTTTATTAAAAACGTTAAATTAAATTATTATATTTTATTAAATTTGTTAGCTCCCTTTTAATTTTAAGCTGACACATATGCTTACCATATTTGTAGATTATGGTATATTGGCTCATATACCATAATGGCTAAGCCAATAAAAAGTCTTTAATTGCATTATCCAATGATCCGATTTTTAACAATGTGATATATACCTATGCGTTATTAACCAAGCATGAGGTCAAGATGGCTGGATATTGGCCAAGTTCTTTTTTCACATTTTTATGGATCAAGAGGAAGTCAAGGTCTACAAAAATGTGAAAAAGAACGAGGCTAATGTCCAGCCATCTTGACCAAACAGGCTTGGTAAATAAAGGATTTATTATACTGCAAAAAGATTTTGCTTTATTAAGAATTAAGAAGAACTTGTTTACTACGAGAGCTGGGAAAAAAAGCCAGCTATGTTTGAAGCACAAAAAACTCATGAGAGTCGTTTCTGTTTTCTTTGTTTTGACTATCTTCTGCCACTTTTTTCCTTTTCCATTGCTGACATTGTCCAAGAATTACAAACATAGTTCTAATTCAATTTTTTTCAAGCACAGGATCAATGTGGGCAATCCCAAGTGGGCAGAATGGGCCTATCTTGCCCACTTGGGTAGCCAATCAGAACACAGGATTCACTTCATCTTGCCTACGGGCACTGTGAGTGATGCAATAAAAATTCTTACAACACTATAAGCTGAACAAAACAAGTAACAAACACAAATTTTGCTCTTACAATTGAGGGATATGACTGTCAGCTGTCCTTGATTCAGCATAACTCCATTATATTTAACCACTGCATTGAAGCAACCTTCATCATCCAGCTTTATATGGAGCACATTATTCTTGTCATATCCATCTGGAAGAATCACAAGTTCAGGATCTGTTTTTTCACTGCTTCCAATCTGACAAAATAATTGAAAGAAAAACACATAGGTCAACTAATAGAAAAATATCCAGAGACTAGAAAGCTTAAAATGCTATCAACAGGTGAAGGGTATAACAAAAACATACTTTGGTTTCAGGAACTTATTTTAAAATACTTTCAGCTTTTTACACCTTAAAAAAACTCACCAGGCTACAATATACAATGAGAAAAATTTTATCTTTCCTAAAACAAGTTATTTACTACAGTATATATCTTAACAAATCATTCACCTACTAAAAAGCTTGTTTTTTGTAAATGCTGTCTATCTAATATATATGAATAAAGGCTGATAGTTTCAAAAGAAACTGTTTGGGGCTGCGTCGGTGGGAGTAACGAAATAATTTGGATATATCAACAAAGTTGAAATGGTAAATTGGCCACCGTAATGATTACAAAAGCTGACGTTTCGAGCGTTAGCCCTTCGTCGGAGCGAATAGAGGAATTGTGGGTTGTGTGTGCTTTTAAAGGCAGAAAATGGAGCTACGTTATTGGTGGGTGCATGGCAACGAGAAAAACATGAATAAATTAGTGGAATGAAAAGCGTTCATTGATCCCTGTGGGATTTAGACTGCCGGTTTGAAAGATGAGCTTTTGTTCAAGATTTTTACGGCTTTCCGTGCCACCTAAGTGCAAGGAAAGACCGCAGATTGCCATATGTTGCTTAGAATGATTAGGTAAATTAAAATGTCTAGCGACTGGTTTCGATGTGTCCTTGTCATTCCTTTCCACGTCTCGAAGGTGTTCTCGGAATCGGTCACCTAGTCTTCTGCCTGTTTCGCCGATGTATATCTTTTTGCAATAAGTGCAAGTTATGCAATAGATTACATTGGCGGAGGTGCACGTGAAGTGATCGGTGATCTTAATGGATCGTTTAGGTCCCGATATTTTATCAGTGTTGTGAATGAAAGGACACGTTTTGCATCGTGCACGAGCGCATTTAAAAGTGCCTGGTTGCTCATTAGTCTGAAAAGAACTTCTGACCAAAAAATTGCCTA